CGCGGCCGCAGGTGCCTCGCTCTCGTCCCCGCCCGGTTCCTTCGTGGGCCCTGCGCCGCCCTCGCCGGTGACTCGTCCTCGCCTCTGACCCGCGAGGTCTGGCGGCAGGAAGGGCGTGGGAACGGCCAGCGCCCGCGCCTCCTGAACCGGCCAGGATGAGGGTGGCCTTGGCCCGTCGAGGGCTTGCGGGCGCCCGTTGCTCCGGGTCCCTCCTCCGCCTCCTCTCTTCCCCCCCATCCCGGCCTGCGGCTGCCTCCCCCCGCGAGGCCGCCTGCCCTGCTGGAGCCAGACTCCCGAGACCCTCAGCCGGTGAAGCGCGTTCGGCTGGGCCACACCAGCTCCGCCACCTGGTCTGCCCACGGGGGCAGTGGGCTTGTGCACACTGGAGGTCGCGAGTGAGGACAGCCCTATCCCCTGCACACCCGCCCTCTGGAGCGGACCGGAACCTTCTCTGGGCAGAACACACCTCTGGCTTTTGTAAAACGCTTGCTGGGGTTGCTTGACTTCTGTGTGCCGGGTTGAGTATTTGTGAGTCACTTCATTCATTCCCAGATTGCCTGCCTTGTGCCAGCAAGATGCCATAGTCCCCACCCCGAGGCTGGCGCCTCAGTGGCAGCAGGGTGCCTTGAGATGGAGCTCCCTACTCGGAGAAAGTCAGGCAGCTGGATGGGTTGGGTGTAGGGAGGGGCGCGCTCTCCTGAGTGGCCAGGGTGCCTGTGGAGAAGCTGATCTGGAGAGCAGCTGCAGGAGAGGTGGAGGGAGACCAGCCCTGGTGGGGCAGCCCTGAAGGCCCAGGCCAAAGTGGCAGGGGGGAGCTAGAGGGGGCGGGGTCGGAGCCAGGCAGAGGGACCCTCTGTGGGTCTGTGGGTTGCCCACAGGTTTGTCTCAGGAGCCAGGTGACCCCTCCCCCTGGCTCCCCAGCCATTCTCTGGCTGAACTGTTTCCGGGGTGGGAGGTGGGCAACTGTCGCCAGTGACAGCCGCGATGCCAGTCTCTGGGGTTGGACTTGTGTTGTTGATTTCTCCCCCCCACCCACTGCCGCGGAGGAGAGACCACACTCGGACTCCCTGGGCCCTTCCCCCAGGATGGAGGGAGAGTGCGGTGGGGGTGGTGATGGTAAGAGGCCACAGGGGCCACCAGGGACAGGCTGCACTTGGGAGCAGGGCCATCTCCTCGGCAGCACTGTGTGGGCAGCAGAATGATCCCGCCGCTCCTAGGAGTTTCTCTGGCGCCAGTCACGCTGGAGTTGAGGCAGGGACACAGGGAAGCCCGCTGAACCGCAGGTCAACAGCCTCTTGCCCAGTTCCCAGTCCAAAATCTCAAAACTGGACACGTGTTTGGTAACGTGTCTGGTGGCTAAACCCAGCCTTGCCTGATCTGGACCTCCACGGCAGCAAAGCCTGCCCTGTATCGGGAGGCCACTGCTCACCTGTGTTCTTGCTCTCTGTGTGGGTGGCCGCCTTGTCTCTGTGAAGTCTCAGTGCCTTTGATTCCAGGGGGCTCCTGAGGCCCCACTGGGAGCATCGCACAGCATAGGGTGTGTGCTCCTTCCTCTTTCTAAGGCCTGGCAGTGTCTGAGTCCGGAGGCTCACCAGGCCCCGGCATCCTGGGAGAACCCAGACTCCCCAAGCAGGATGCTGAGGAAGGAAGAACTTGTTTTGTGGTGGAAGAAGAGAGAAAAGCAACAGAGACCGGTGCATTTTAGAATCACAGGAGTAGACTGATGCTCACTGCTCATCAAGCCATCCTTTTTACCAAAACCTTCATAGTTGTTCTGGGAGGTGAAGAGGAACAAACAGCAGGGGCGAGAACCTGAACGCTGGTGACTTGAGTCGTGTGCTCAGGATGGAGCTTGGCCCCAACCCTGACCTCTCACCTGAGTCCCCAGATGACCCGCTCCCTGTTCTTTCTCCCCAGGTGAACCCCACAAATCTGGGGACGTGCCAGCCGTGGCCAGGGACACCGTGAGGTTTAACCTGCGCTCCTCCAAGGACCCGGATCATGAAGGATGCTACCTCTCCCCAGGCCACAGTCAGCCCTTGGACGACTGTGGCTTCAACATGACAGCCAGAACCTTCTTCATCATTCACGGCTGGACGGTGAGCCGGGGGGCCTGCAGCCTCTCCCAGGACCTTTATCTTGGTCATGGAATGTGCAGACGGGAGCTTCCTGAGCCCAAACCCCCTGCCCTTCCTTGTGGGCCGCTCCTGTTTCAGACAGCTGTGGAGAGCATGCTGGACGTTCGCCGAGGGGCAGCCTGGACTCCCGCTGGCGCACAACAGGCCTGCCGAGAGGGCCTCTCTTGGGCAGCAGTCCAGCTTGCTGGCTCTCAAGGAGCCTCTAATTACGCTTAATTGCGCTGGTCACCCACTGTCTTGAGGGCCTGTCCTGCGGAAGAGTGGAGCTGAGTGGCTGGCCGGGCTCCGCAGTCCCGGGGAAGCCAGCTGGCCTGGTTGCCGGCGCTTGGCGAGGTGCCCTCCTGTTGCATGGAGATGGCCCGTCCCAAGGGAAGGGCTCTTTATGTGGCCTCGACGAGCAATTCACTCTGAAAGGCCCATGACAGACCTCAACAAAACAGGCCTTCAGGGCTCAGCTTCGGAAGCTTTTGACCAGCCGGGGGTTTGTGCACTCACACAATGACGGTCTGTGGGGAACGGCACTAAGTGAGTGATCCCTGCCCGGGCTAGTCGGGAGGGGCGCTCCGGCCGGTGGTGAGAAATCTACATCCTGACACGCTTTCTGGCCAGCAGGGATGTCACCACAGCCGGGGCAGCAGGCAGGGCTTACTACCTGCCTAGAGTGAGCAGGGAGGCGGCTATGGGCCCGCCTCAGCCTCGGCCTGCAGCCTTTCCATTGGAATCATGCGTTAGCGCTTTCCAAGGCCCCCTGTCAAAATGCAAATATACACTGTCTGGACTTACAAATGGGTTGCCTTCCAGAAAGTTCTTTTGTAATCTGCTTGGAACTTGGTCTGCCATAGAAGCGAGATTGTAAGTGGTGCTTGGGTTCCCAGGGCAGGCACAGAAAATCCATTTATTTGATAATGCACTTGAGGAGAGGTTTCCAACCGGTCCCGGTCGCCATTCACGATGGTGTTTCTGTGGGAAAGTGTGCTCTGAGCGCTGATTTGGGATTCCAGGGACAGACATTCCCTCCTCTGGGGTCAAGAGGGTGGCGGAGCTGGGTTGTGGGAAGGGGTCATCTGTGAGCCCTGCGTGTGCCTGGGAGTCGCCTCTCATGGTCTCCAAGAGAGGACCGAGCTCTCCAGGCAACCTGCCCAGCTGCTCCCGAAGGACACCCGGGCCGCTTGCCTGCCAGCGATGGAGACCCGGGCCGGTCTCATGCCAGTGTCACCACCACACGCAGCTCATCATGACCCCGGCAGACAGCGGGGCAGCGGCCGGGACACTGGTTGGGAAAGTCCTAGTGGGAAAGCCAGGGGTGCAGAGAGGAAGGAAAGACTGGTGCCCGCCAGCGGCTCTGCCGTGGCCGGCCCTGCCACCCTGCCCGTGTTTGGTCCCTGAGCAGCCAACGTGCATGTTCTACACTTTGCTGGGAGAGCGTCCTGGAGTGGAATCCCATGTCTGCCCAGACTCCTGAAAGCCAGAGGAAGAATCCCATGGTGTGTCCTGCTTCCTCTGCAGATGAGTGGCTTGCTGGAGGGCTGGCTGCACAAGCTTGTGGCGGCCCTGCAGACTCGGGAGAAGGATGCCAACGTGGTGGTGGTTGACTGGCTCCCCCTGGCTCACCAACTCTACACGGATGCAGTCAACAACACCAGGGTGGTGGGACAGAGCGTGGCAAGGATGCTGGACTGGCTGCAGGTGAGGGGAGGGGGAGTCTGGCTGCAGGTGGCGGGGGAATCCAACTGAGGTGAGGGGTTGGCTGGGGCTTTTAGAGAGCCGTCTAATTATTGATAGGTCTCTGGATGTTTACAGTTATTTTTAACTTTTATGGAGACAAGGTCTTGCTTTGTTGCCCAGGCTGGTCTTGAACTCCTGGTCTCAAGCGATCCTCCTGCCTCGCTGGGACTACAAGCACGTGTTGCTGCGCCTGGCTTTTTCCTGTTAGTTTATTTACTGAAAACTGGCCTTCTAGGTTGTTCCTTCCTGACCCTGGGATTGGATGCCCTTGGGCTGGTTGAGAGTGGCCGCTGAGGAGACTCTTGCCTTTGAGCGAGGCTGTGCTGGGGTGGGTGG